CTAAGCTAAGCTAAAAGTGCTCCCGCCAGACCCGGAGATCGGCTGAATGGATTCGAAAACGATAAAACTCAACTGTTTAACTCTAGGGGAGTTAAAAATGAGGAAAATTAGCCTATTTTCAAAAATAGTGGAGTGTTCCTTTAAATTTATTTTTACCAAATAAATACAGCCTTGGTGAGCATTTCAAAGACTTTCATAAACATTAAAAATCTTATTGATCCCAAATCTTTTAATGGTAGTGTACATTAAGGGAAAACCTTAATGTATCATAGTGACTTGGTGGGCTCTTTTGGCTTGAGCCAGTAAGCAACCATCTAGCAATGCCCTACTAACCACCCAAAATAACCAAGTAACCACATGGCAGCCACCCTTGTGTTGTGGTGGAGACCTCAGAAAATTTAAAAAATCTAGTTGCACAGGGCTAAAATAACCGAGGTTAGTTATTATATATAAAAAAAACTGTTGATACTTCAAAAGGCTATAACCACATTTTAGCATTAGAGGTAGTAGTTTAACAACCAACCACGGAAATATGCATATTTGTTGATTTGTAATCTGAATGTTATGGGGGCCACATGTATATGGCAGTTATAACCCTGGTACTTTGAGCTTGAGGTGGGAAAATATCATTCCTTGAAAATAAAAATAAAAAATTACCTTTGGCACAAATGAAACAGTTTACTGAGCATAATCCAGTAATGATTTCTCTTGAATCTTGTTCTTGAATCTAAACTGACATGCCCATAGAACCCAGTTTTCTTTATTGTTTTTTTTAACATGGGTTATAAAAGTTTTGTTTTTCAAAGAGGCAGCACATTCATTGGCTGTGCCTGAATTCGCTTATTTATAATGTGTCACACATTTTTTCAATTTATCATCTATGCATCTCTCAACTTAAACAGCAACTAGTAACATATAATTTGCTTTATTTTTGCTTTATTGAACAAACTGCTATAGTAGTTCTAATCTGTTACACCAAATACACAAAATAATGATCTTTTAAAAAGCATCATATGACCCCTTTAATACAAGGTCTCATGAAGAATATGATTCAATATGATTCTGGGTGGCATGGTCCATGTAACTGCATTTCCATTCAAACAGAAAACAGAATCTGCGATCTGTAATCAGTACATCCATGCACACTGGAATGAAACGGAATGCACACTACCATGCATTCTGTACAGACTCACAAGATATCATATTTTACAGGATGTATGTACTTTTCTGATTTGGTGTGTGTTTATGTTTTCAGAAGCGTTTCAGAGGGCACAAAAGCGCATGCAGGAGGCAAGAGAGACTTTACCCAGAGATCACATCAACTCCTCTGCACAACTAAACTCAGTCTACTGCATAGGAACATTACACATGAATTACAGGATGTATGTACTTTTCTGATTTGGTGTGTGTTTATGTTTTCAGAAGCGTTTCAGAGGGCACAAAAGCGCATGCGCAGGAGGCAAGAGAGATTACCCAGAGATCTCATCAACACCTCTGCACAACTAAACTCAGAGTCTACTGCATAGGAACATTACACATGAAACATGTATAATAATGCTGTTCACAGTATTTGTGTTTATATATGTATAGTACATTTTGCATAGTTTTGAAATCTATTTAATTTTTCTTTTTCAGTTGTGTTTTATGTAATACTTGTATTAAGAATGCAAATTCTAACTATTTTACTTTTTACGAATTTACTTATTAAAAACATGGTTATTGTAAAAATTAAACAGAATTGCTTATTTAACATCAATAATGAGGAAATTTAGAAGAAATTCTTAGATTATAGGCCAGATTTACTAAACAGGGCAAATTCCAAAATTCCATCCAAATTTGCAATCCCATAAAAGCACCGGTTGGAATGGAAAGTTCTACGGCTGATCTACTGATAATGTGCACATGAAAGAACACAAGCTCATTTCCATAATGACTACCGCAGCCATGCCAAGCGTAAAATGGGTTAAGACACTTTTTTTGGGCATTAAATAATAGTGTAAATATCAGTAAACTGACTACTGCAAACAATGGGAAATCACTAGCATGATTTATTTAAAGCTCCAGTCCGTAACTTTTTTTGGTTAAAAATGATCCGAAATCAATATTTGAGCAAGTACATAACCAGCCAGTGTTCGAAACTATCGCCTTTAGCCCGATTCACAACGATCAGCTTATAATAATGTTTTCTAATTTGAGTGGTACGGGTAGGTTTTCGCGGGAAATTCGAGCATGCTGCCGAATTACGTCATGTCTGTAAACATAAAGAAGTTGTCCCGGCTACTAGGCTATCGCATGTGAGGATCCTGCAGG